TTTTCTTTGACAAAGCAATGAGACAAAATGTAGAAAAAGTGTGGTTATAGATTCGGAGACACATTTTTCTAAAACTTTCTTAGTGAAAACATCGTTTTTCACCCTTTAAGTGGAATACCTAAAAATATTTATTTTTACAAGAACCCCTTGAAACAATTCCTAATGATCGGTACATTCATACATTATCAAAAAGTTTCCTATTTTTTGTCCTCAAAATTTGTTTCATTTGGTAGAATTGCTCATATACGCGATATAAGCATGGCTTGCTCGCGCGCCTGTGCATATTTGCTTGAGTCGTTAATATTATTTATCGTGCCTAATGGTACGCAGCCTCTCTCTGGTACGGGCGTTTTCTCATTGTTACAATCGCAGATCGCACGCGCGCGTGTCCAGAGGCATTTGGCGCGCCATTCAGACAGTTGCGAATTATTTCGTATTTGACCAAAATCGCACGAACATTAATCGCAAAGACAATTGAGAAAAGTTTTGCATCGAGCATTAAAGGTGCATACAATGCCCCATGTCTCATTTGCATAGTTTAATTTTTTTCTTTGCTCTCGTATCAACGAAAATGTTAATTGTTGTACGTTCGAGCTGCTTCATCAGTGTATTTCACACCTCAGAAATTGTTTATTATTTTGATTTTAAATCTGCATATACCTCATTTGATTATAATTTGGAAATTTCTTCGCTGCATCATCAACAAAAATTGTGTTTACGTGAAAATCAAAAATATCAGTCAATATATCAACGATATCTAATATCATTGATGCGTATTAGTTAATTAGCGGATGAATTAGAGAATAGCATATTTTACTCCTGATCGAGGTTGGTGTAAAAAGAAACATCAGCCGACCATCGCACGTGCAGCTATATATCTGAACAGGTATATATTCACACAAGACCAGTTGAGCTCTTTGATGTCTTCTTTTCGCAATTTATCTTTTTCGATTCACTTTTTTTGATCATCGAATAGCTATGCTGTACGTGGCTGTGTGTGCGCGTGTCTCTTTTGTACTTCTATACGCTGCGCCAGCAGATCACTTTTCTTTTACGCGAGTATACACACCCCTTCTCCAGGGACGATCGAAAGAGAAAAAGAGAAAGAGAATGGAATCATTGCGAACGAGATTACGAGGTGGAGACCGGCAAGGCGAGATTTTAAAGCTGTTGAAACTCATAGTCGTATATAACATTTATGTATAAAGCTCGCTTTTTAATTTTTTTTCTCCTTTTTTCAAATTTTCTTTTGTATATGCTTACAGTGATTTTTTCCGCTTTCTTGGGCAGAAAGAATGCCGTGCTCAAAAACCTGGATAAAAAGGGGCCACTACATCAAAATAGAACGAAAATGAATTTTACTCCAACGTTAAAAAGAATCAATTCCAATTAAAGCTCACACAAAAATGTTCACCATAGTAGTAGGTTCAATTTGATTTGACATTATATAAATTGAAATAACAAATTTATCTCTTGTATTCGTATTAATAATCGAAATTGGCAGTGTTTTGGTGGTGCGAAATTGAAGTTAATTTTACTCTTCAACTAGTAGAGTTCTATAATAATTTAATATAAGCTGAATGTGACAGTGTAGTTTCTCCTATCTGCTATTTAATTTAGGGATGAATGTGCGCCAATGAAAATTCAATCAAACTTCAATCAAATTACTTTGTACCTAACCCGATAACTTTAACTCAGTAATTGTTATAAATAAAGAAAATAGAAGGAAAAACTTATACTAGACAGAAAAAATTATTCGCTCAACCTGTGAAACTATTTTGGAAACATTTTCAGACTATCACTTAGTTGGTGAGCTTTGCAAATTCGTGCTTTAGCTCACATCATATACAACGAAGTTACAGAATTTTTATTGCAACGGAAGAGGTATAGTACAGAAAAAAGTCTATGGTATATTTTCAACGCAAATAAAAGCCGTGCGAGTATACGGCTAGAGCTCGGAGGAATGGAAAAAAAGCATAGCAGTAGTAAGCAAGCCAAGTCTTTTTCGTCCTGTTTCGCACCACAATCTCCAAGTCTTTCAGAACGCATAGAAAAAAGCACATACTCGCGTTCACGCATCGAGCGCCGCACGTGGGGATTGTGGTGAGCCAAAAAAGCCTCGAGAATAATTTTCGAAATTGCTCTTCTACGCGTGCCCGTACACGCAAACTCGGACGAGCGCTCGCCTTGATAATATTAAACTTGAACTTGCCCGTTTAAAAGTGCTGCTCACGCGACACGAGGAAAAGCCCAAAATTCAGTGATAATTTTGAGTTTCAGCCGGCTAAACATGTATACGCGTAGATAATTGTTTTTCGTATATATGTAAAGGTCTCGTCCGTTAACGAGGATTCGGTGTTGAAAATGTTTTGTGCCGTCGCATAACGCACACGCACACAGACGTGCACATAACACACAAGGATAGGCGAGCTCTTCCGGGCGTTATAAGCCACGGTTATTGTGCAGGCTCGCGCGCTGCTCTGTTCTCGCATTTGTTCGAATAACTGCTTGGCTGGAATGCTTTTGCCGTTTCCTCCCTCGGCCGAGCGCACTCGAGCTCAAACGCGGCGAATTTCCAAAATAGAGAGTTCGAACGGTTGGCGCGCGTTACAATTGCAGCGAGTAATAACGTCCCGCAAGTATATACCATACCATGTACACGTCCAGGTGATTGAATTGTTTCGCGCGAAAAACGTTTCTAAGCTCTCGGCTAAATTTCTGCGGACTGTGACGTATATATAAACGCGAAATGCAGTATACGTATATTGTATAAGTATTAACGAACTGCAGCGTATACTGTGCGTGACAACTGCCGTCAGCAGTGCATACACGTATCCAAGGCGTGTACGGGAGAAAAGGCAACGGATGCTCGTTGACAGGAAAATATATACATGTGCGCGTGCGTGTGTGTGTGTGTGTGTGTGTGGGTGTATGATCGTGCGCGCGAGTCTATGTGATAAATGTATGTGTGCGGTGCATGCATAGGTAAGAGAGGACGAGGGTGAGCGAGCTCCGGAGCGAGAGAGCGAGAGGCGAAGTAGATAGACAACTGGCGCACAAAGTGTATAGCTTCGTCCCGTTATATATCTGTACGAAGCAGTTTATATTCAGAGATAGAGACACACATTACGGTCGAGAGACGAAACTCCAAGAATTAATTATTGCCTCGCCTCTCGCTCCCTCCGTGCCTCCCTCCTCCCTTTCCCGCCCCTCGCTCTTACTTACTTGTGTAATTACACTGTGAATTTTGTGCTGTCTATTTTAAATCTCTCGCTCGTGCAGCCGAGTGCGTTTTTTGTCCGTTTCGCATCCATTATGGGGCGGGCGAGCGAGCTAGCGCGCGCGCGAAAAAAAATAATGCTCCGAATGAATTAGGGAACGCTTGCGCGCGAAGCGTCGAGCATTGTCGTCGTCGCCGCCGAGCGTAGCCGAAAGATAATTGTTCAGCGCGTGAAATCCGATGGGCGAGAAATTCACTGAATCACGCTGCTGCTGCCGCTGCCGCTGCTCTTGGTACTGCTGCTGTTGCTGCTGTGCCCAGCTCGAGCTGGTGTCACACGTAATACGCCAACTTTGATTACCTTCGGATTTCGAAATTATAGCTAATCCGCCGCGGCAAGTAGCATAAGTAAGGATGAAGCTCGATGTGCAGCTCCATGAGCGCAAGCTATCTTGCGCGAGAGAGCGGGTCTCTCTCTCTCTCCCTCTCCGAGCACGTAATTAATTCGTTTATCTATTAAAGGTGAAGATCCGCATAGCGTTAAAGTCGCGACCCGATTAACTCGAGCGATTATATATGGAAAGTGGATTAAATTTTCGCTGGGATTGTGTAGCGCGCAGAGCCTTAACTGCATCAAATCCAACATAAATACATAGTGAGAGGCTTTACGATGGCTGGCTATTTAAATAACAAACACAAGTTAAACAGCGATTAATCGTCACTTTTTTGCATTTATTTTCAACTTGTATAAGTTTTTGATTTTTATAAGTTTTTTTTAATTTTCTTTGAATACTTATAATTCGTCATTCGAGTGTCTATCTATTTACAAGATGTATATCGTCATACGATAATTTTTTTTTTTTTTTAATTTCATTATTTGTTTGATTCGTTACATTGGCGCGTGAGGGATTCCTCGACGCAGAAAGATCATCATTTGCTCTGAACAATCAGTTGCGTGACGCGCGGCGACGCATCGATCGACGCCTCAACGACAGCTACAATCACGATACTTACACATACTTCAACTTAAAGTATTAACAATTTATTCGAGGTTGTCAAACGTTTGCACTTTTTCACATGTATACTCGTTGATCAATGACTAATACAAATTACTTTTCAATCATTATACTCGATATAATTACATAATATTATATAGAATTCATATAAAAAACGCTCTGAATTTTTTTCACACTCTTTCGTATACTCGTAAATTTAATAAAGATATAATTTATAATTTATATATTTATAAGTTCCACTCTTTAAACTACCATAACTATACAAAATTATTTAATACGTAACTTACAACCCGTCCTGTCCTCCGCACGCAATCATATCAGACACTAATAATTCTAGACTATATTTAAATTTACTTTATGTATATTTACGTACAAAAACAGTGTAGTCACTTGCGTTGTCACGGCTCGTTTAACTTTGCTCTTTATATTCGATATACTTACAATATAATACACGATAAATAAATAAAAAAGAAATCGATTATGCAATCACGAGCCGTTCAAATGGCTCGTCAATATTTTACTACAATCATAAAATTTTAAAAGAGAGACAAAAAAAACGTCAAACATGGCAAAACATCAGTCTCGGTGGTGGACGATATAAATTCCTCGTAAAAGTAGGGAAAAAGAATAAAAAAAATAAATCGGTGTATAGTCGATAAAAAAATGAAGCTTATATCTCGGAGTGACTGAAAGCTCGGCTGCTTTAATAATAAATCGTTGACGACCGACGAGTCGAGTGCGCTCATTGAGAGCCAAGAGCCGGCGCGCAGCGAATCAACCGAAAAACTCACTGACGCTCTTGAGCTCGATGTCGTGTTGCTGCTGCTGCTCGTCGTCCGCCGGGTGCTTTTGCTACGAGTTCAGGGCCGTCGTGCCTATGAAGCTCGGGCAGGCGTTGTTGTCCGGTCGGTCGCCGCTCTGCAGCGAGAAGTGCCGATAGGACAGGTATTCCGGGGGATTGGGCGCCAGCGGCTGCTCGCGCTTGGCCTGGGCGCGCTGCTTCTTCATCTTCATGTAGCCCAGCACCGAGATCAGCACGATGAACACGACGAAGCCCATGCAGCTGCCGACGATGAGGCCCAGCCGGCGAGTCAGGAGGCTCGCGAGACTGCTGCGATCGCCCACGGCGCCCTCGCCGATTTGCGAGCTCGGCGACTCGAGGGTGCGCACCTCGGTGCAGCGAGACATCGGAGAGTTCACCATTACCGGATGCGCAGAGCTCTCCAAAAGTTCGTCCTGCTGCGACGAGGAGGAGGACACGGACGCCGCCGCCGACGTCGAGTTCCAATTCCACGAGCTCAAGTCTTCGGGGATCGGCGTGCCCCAGCTGCCCAGGCCGAGCACGCAAATGAGATAGCGCGTGTCCGGGCTCAATCTGCTCAGGCGCACCGAGCGCGTCTTCGGGTCCAAAAGTTTTCCACGTACCTGCAAATTGTATTCAGTCATATTGTATTGCACGTATTGATTTTCCTTCGTTTTCTCTCTATTCATCGCGTACGTTTAAAGTGCATCGCGCGCGATCGTCTTTCTCGGCAACGTTAAAAGATGCAAACGACATCGAGAGGATATAAAATTAAATGTGTAAAAAAGTTGCGAAACCTACACTTACTTCGTCGACGTTGCCGAGGGCGTGATAAGCCACTTGATAGCCGTGCAGGCCCGAGTGATTTCTGCTCTGCCAAGACACCAGCACGGAGTAGGGTTGTATGTCCTGGATGGCAAGCTTGAGAACGAGCGGCGCCGAGCAGAAGGTATGCGGGTCGAGATCGAGAAAAACGAGGCCGCGCAATTCCGGCGGCTGGTCGCAGCGCAGTAACCCACCCTCGACCTCGACGCTGCTTCCACCGCGACCCACGAGCTTTTGATGGTCGCGCAGCCACTCCCACAGCTCTTGTGACTCGCAGCCGCAGTTGAGTGGATTTTCTGTGAGCAAAAGAAAAATGAACATCAATCGAATTTTGAAATTCCTCGCTGCTGCGTTGCAGCTGCAACAGGCAAGATATCCGCAGCAAATTTATATTGGATGTTTCAATAAGCGCGCGCGAGCACGACTCGGGACAAACGCGGCTACATCGTATCGTAAAATTTTATATCTCTTCTGTCGCGGAGCCCGAGTGAAATAATATGAAAAAATTCCTTACCTTCGGTCCTTAGACTGCGTATTTGCGTCTCGAGGGGTCGAAAAGCATTAAGCGGCAGATTCTCCAGGTAATTTCGACTGAGATCAAGTAGCCGGAGTTTCTTGAGCGGCTTGAAAGCATCGCCGGATATGGTATTGATCCAGTTGCCGTACAGATGCAGCTCGACCAAGTTCACGAGATTTCTAAATGTGACTTTGCCTACGGTACCAATTTGATTGAACGATAGATCGAGTGTCTGCAGGGCTTTCAGATCTTCCGGGAATTCTTCGAGCTCTTTCAATCTGTTGTGCGTGAGATTGAGAATGCTGAGGTGCTGCAGACCCTGGAGTCGCTCCTGCGGTAAGATGTCGATACTATTGTCGCCCAAGTCGAGGGTGTGCAGGTTCGGCAGGCTGCGAAAAGCGCCCGGCGATATGCGCGATATGCCGTTGTGATTTACGTGCAAATATTCGAGCGCCGGGAAGGCCTCGAAGTCCTGCGAGGTGAGCAGCGTCAAGTTCGTGTACGACAGATGAAGCTCGTTCAAGAGCGGATACTTGGCGTCCGTCGAGATATCGTGTATCTTCTGGAACGGGTTGCGAGTGAGATTCAGCCACGAGAGCCCGGGCAGATTTTGACTGGACAGCGCCATCGAGGGTATCTGGCGGAATCGGTTTTCCGACAGGTCCAAGTGCTTCAGCATCGGCGAGTGCACGAAGAAATTGGCCGGCAACACGGCCAGCTGATTGTGGCTCAAGTCGACGGAGAAGAGCTTGGACAAGTTGGCCTGCGCGAAGCCCGACATGGACTCGATGCGATTGTGGCCGAGGTCGATATCGCGCAAATGCTTCAAGCCCGACATGCTGGCCACGTCGATGGTGGCTATATCGCCGTGCGACAGAGACAGGCTCTCCAAATTTTTGGCGCTCGCCAGTGCCGAGTACGGCACGCTGCTCAGACGATTGTAATTGAGCTTGATCTCCTTCAGCGAGAGCAAATTATCGAAGATGCCCGGGGGCAGAGTTTTTAGATGATTGCGGTTCAAATGAAGTTTGGCCAAGTTGACGTTCAGTATGAAGAGCGTCTCGGGTATTTGCGATATCTGCACGTCGTCGAGGATCAAGTGCTGCAACGAGGGCAGGCCCGTAAAGCTGTGCTCGGAAAGTTGACTAAAATTATTCTTCGAAGCGTCGAGCGTTTGCAGGCCGGATATCTGCAGCCTCCGCAGAGCTTGAACGGTTAATTTATTCTTGGACAGATCGAGCTCGACGAGCTCGTTCAAGCCCTGAAAGGCGCCGCTCTCGATGCTCTCGATCGAGCAGTTTCTCAGGTATAAGTTTCGAATGGGCAGATTGGCTTGAAAGACGCCGTCCTGCAGGACCGTGAGAAAATTATTCGACAAATCGAGCACGCGAAGTTTCTTGAGAGCCGAAAAAGAGTAAGGATCGAGACGGCTCAAGCTGTTATCTTGCAGGTACAACTCTTCGAGCTCCCTCAGCTCCGAGAAGGTGCGATCGGTCACGCGGCTGAGCTTGTTCTTGCTCAGCTCGAGGAATCGCAGCGCCTGCATCGGCTCGAAGGCCGCGTCGTCGATTTTCACGATGGAGTTGTTGGTCAAGTAGAGCCTCTCGACGAGCATCAAGTCCCGAAAAAGTGGCGCCTGCAGGTGGGTGAGCTTGTTGTTGCCGAGCCACATTATGCGCACAGAGACCTGGCCGCGCAGCGAATTGTTGTGCAACGAGGACAGATTGTTGCTGTCCAGCTGAATGGAGACGAGCGAGCGACTGGTCTGCGAGTCGATCTCCGACAATTGGAAAATGTCGCCCAGCTGAGTGATCTGATTGCCCTGCAGGTTCAAGTCCTGCAGGTTGAAGAGAGTGCTCAGTGAGCCGGTCTCGACGTTGCGGATGTAGTTGTTTTGCAGATGAAGCTCCTGCAGCGAGGACAGGGGCGAGAGGGCGCCGCGCTTCACCTCGCTTATTTGATTGTCCTGCAGGCGCAGCTCGCGCAACTCGTTCAGTTTGGAGAAGGTCCCGATGCTGAGCTCTCGGATGCGATTGCCGTCCAAAAACAAAGAGGTCAGATTGTCGCACTGCTCGAAGAAGTCGACGGGCAGCCGCTCGATGTAATTGCTCGTCAGATGCAGCTGCTCGAGCTGGCTGAGGCTCGACAGTCCGCGGCCGTCGATGCGCCTGATGGCGTTCTGCTGCATGTAAATGACCGACAGACCGATGCTGCCGACGAACGCGTCGGCCGGGATCTCGAGGATGTTGTTCTCGGCGAGGAAGAGCTCGCGCAGCTCCGGCAGGCCGGCGAACACCCCGCCGATGTAGTGTATGTGGTTGTGGCTCAGCTCGATGGTGCGCAGACGCTCGTTGGCCTTGAAGGTGTTCGAGTCGAGGAATACGATCTTGTTGTGGCTCAGGTCGATCGACTCGAGGCTGGTGAGCGAGACGAAGGCCCGCTTGTCGACGTCCTCGATGTTGTTCAGATAGAGCGACAGCGTCTTGAGGGCGGGGAACGGCCTGAAGCAGTCGGCCTTGAGCTCGTCGAAGTTGTTGCTGCTCAGGTCGAGGTTGCGCAGCGACTTGAGGGTCGAGTGGCCGTCGTCGTTGAAGCTCGAGATCTCGTTCCAAGCCAGCCGCAGCTCGACGAGACTGTGCAGTCGTCGCAGCGCCGTCATGGGGAAAAGTTTCAACTTGTTCTCCTCGAGATAGAGCTCGGTCAGATAATCCTCGAGGCCGCCGAATGCATATTCCGAGATTTTCGACACCTGATTACCCTTGAGAATCAATTTCACAAGTTTTAAGCCGTAAAAAGAGTAGGAGGACAGCTCGGGTATGAGGTTCGACTCGAGATCCAGGGCCGTCAATTTATGCAGTTTGGACAGGGCGTTTTGCGGCACGTTGGTCAAACGTCCGGAGAGCAGAGCCAGAGACTCGAGACTGCGCTCGAGATTCCTGAAAGCCGACTCGCTGATGTCGCGCAGCGACGAGTGCGAGATCTGCAAGTGCCTGATCTGCGCCCCCGACGGGAAAGCGTCGTCCCGCAGTTCTTCGATCGCCCTGTCGAGCTCGTAGACACTCAGCGACTGGATTACCGTATTGTCTCCTGCAAAATTCCGTTTTACGTCTCTTAGAATAAATTAGTGTGTGACATTCATTTATATAGGAGTGCGCGCATTACATCGCGACTCGAACTTCATAATTCGTTGAAGTTTCAAGCCGCTAGTGTGCAGCTGGCAATAAGCAACAGAACGAGTTTAAAGTTTGTAAAATTGATTAGCAGCTAGAAAGTATTTTGCCACCCCAAGGGTAGGGGTGCATCTTCCGCGTCACGTTCGAGCGTGTGTGTGTGTGTTGTGTGTACGCGCGCGCAGCGAGTTTATATTAAAAAAACAAAAGCAAATAAAAAAATTAAGAGACACACGAGCGAGAAAGCAGCCGGGGGTGAGCCAGCTAGAGACGAGGGAGAAAAGTTTAGCACGTATAGTGGCTCGTTGGCTGTACACACACAGGAAAGCCAGGAGCGGCCTCCGACTTACCAACTGCATTCATGACTCCCAGTAGAATAGTGCGCAGCGTATCCTCGGTCGCACCGGCGCACTCGAGAAAGAGTCCACCCTCGAAGTTGTAGCAGGGACAGCCGGGAATGAGCTCGGATGACGGGCATTCCTCCGCCCGGCTGGAGAGCGCTAGTAGCAGCAGTTGCAGCAGAACATGATAGAGCAGAGATTTATTGACTCGCTCGAGGCTCGCGAGGAGCCGGGGAGGCGGAGGCCTCATCCTTTCCCTGCCGGCGCTCGTCGGCGGCCTCATCGTCTGCAAGCTCTCGCCTCGAGCATCTCACATCTCGGGCGACTCGCGCTCAATTCCAAAGCGTCAGACTCTGTAAGCAGCGCCAAAAAACAAATATTGCCATTAATAATTTGAGCGAGAAAAAGAGGCTCTCTTCTACTTAATAATTACGGGGCGCGCTTTAATCCGACGTCTAGATGTGCAGTTTCGAGGCTGTCAATCAGACGGGGGGAAAACACGTAAGCCAAGCGTACATGTAGGTATTCAATTCATCATTAATAGAGCGCTTCGTTAGAGGGCCGAAGCGAATCATTATAGAGGGTGATAAAGTCGCCGTTATGTCGCTTGTCCGCGCGTCCACGTTGACGTATACGCGAGCACATCTTTTGAAGTTTTGAAGCTCGCAAGCAGCGGCTGAATCGGGGGGAGGTCGCTCGAATTAGCGACGATAAGTATCGATAATAACGATCTAGCTGTCGTCTAGCCGGGGACAGAGGCACGGATGTGTGTGCGAGCTGCACTGCTGCACACGTACTACGCGCGTCCGACGTCCATGCGATACACGAACAACGGACAGATATATAGTACTGGTATGGGTCGCCGTTCGTGCGAGGGTCGCGCTGGAAAGGCTTGCGGCAAAGCTAATCGTCTCGTGGTTGTCGCTGCGAAAGCAAACACACTGCACTACGCGGCTGCAGCACTGTGCGAGCTGCTTCGCGCATGTAATGTCGTGCCGCACACCACCTGGGGCGCTTCATTATACGTGTATAGCGTCCTACAAACATTTAATGATGAACCCTGGTGTTCTCTAGGCTCTCTTCCGACTCGAGCTCTCTCTCTCTCTCTGTCCCTCTCTGCGCCAGTCGAGCTATGCATGGATGCATGCGCGCCCCGCCCGCCTCCCCTGCACTATATTGTACGCATAATGTGCCGATAAATATCTATAGTCGGAACGACGAGGAAATAGAATACGTACGTACGTCATTGAAATGTTTCCCTCCGCAGAATATGGCATAATAATTGTATTATGCGCCGCAGCTATATAGTCTACGAGCACACGTTCGCTAGCGCATGGCTGCACGCCGCGCGTGTATGTGAGCGTCGTATAATCTTTGAGTCCCGACGTATATTATATAATATGCAGTGAGCGCGCGACTGCCATTGTGATTTGCAAAATTCATTTCGTAGCGAAATCCTGCCAGCTCTCGAGTACGTATTATCCTCCTTGATTCACGGTCACTTTCCCGAATCTAAGTTACCCCGAAGCTGCTGCGATTTGCCGAAACAATTTTCCCGACAAAACCCTTTTTCCCGAATGAATATTTTCCGCAGATACCGTCCTTTTCCCGATGTGGCACAAGATCTTAATAAGGTGAAATAGAACGATTCGAATTAATATAAGAGTTATCTTGCCTGCCGTATATATCTACGTGCACCCGAGCTCTCTGGCGACGTCGACGTACTTTTCTCTCTCTCTCTCGCTCGCTTTTGTACGCGAGCGGCGGACAACGAGATAAAGTCTCTGCAGCGTGTGCTTTTAAATCTCGGGCGCGCTCGGCAGAGCGAGTGTCATGCCAGGGCTACATGCAAAAAAAAAGAGGAACGCCACGAATTTAAGATTACTTATACTTGCGGTTTCGTGGAAAGTGCCTTAATGCCGCCGAGCAAGAATAGCTTAAAGACTTTCATGCTCTCTGCGCGCGCTTTTCCTCTCTCTCTTTTCCTCCCTCTCTTTCTGTATCTTATCTTTTGCTAGCTAGCGCGTCGTCGTTGTGTTTTCTGACAAATGAACTTTGTCCTACGGAATATCTTTAGACCTCTTGTGCGCGCGGATGTATAATACGACAACAACAACAACAGTTTATTTTGTCTTCCAAAATTTTTCATTATGCAAATGCATTTCCGAGACTCGTCTCTCTCCCGGGATCATTGATAACTGATCTGCAGTCTTTTTCGTCCTAACAATGAAATATTTTTAGATCTGCCATACATCGAGGTTGCGATGTTTTGATTAATCTCCTTTCGCGGCAGCTTTCAAACTGCAGTTATGCGACTTGTTGTTTTTTCTTCCTTTGTGTATCTCACTATTTCTTTTCTCCATTTCACCTGTACTGTATACAGTTTACAGAGGCAGAGAGAGAGAGTGAGAGCGCCCAGCAGAAGATGATATTTATGTTTCCACTTCTCACACGGGAAAAATGAAAAGCTCGTTTTATTTACGATCTCTTTCCAGCGCACCGCTCACGCGTATGTGTGTGTGCCGCGCGCGCCCGCTCGCGCAAAAGCTCGAACGAGCTTTGAGAAAAGGAGATTGCTTATATATATGAGCGAGCACACACACGCACACACGTACACAATGTGAAAACGATGAAAAACTTGGGAGCTTTGAAGCTTTTGTAAAATGACTCTCATACGTGACGACTCTTATATCGATGGCCGCGCGTAACGGTCCGGCAGTTTGTTGCAACAAACGCTGGTGCAAGTTGTATACATAATCGTAAGTAATGTTGCTCGCGCGCTCGTAGCTCGTGCAGCACTCGTGGCACGTGTTGGCGATCGCGCAACAAATACACACGCCAACTTCATAGTCGTGCGCATTTTGTTGGAAAAAAATTTAACTTTTATTGCAGGCCCGTAATCGAGCTTTTGAAACCGAGCTGAAAACATCGTTACGTATACGTTTTAACGATATCGTAGATTTTTCGAAAATTCTGACGTAATCAAAGTATATATTGCCAGGGCTAGGCGTGCGCGCATGTGCTGTACTCTGCGTCGCATCGACTACGTGCGCGCACGAGCTACTATGAATATTCCAGCAAAAAGCACACATACACCCACACAGGCGCTATATATTATTATCATTATTATTATTATCATCGTCATTATTATTATGTGTAGCCACGATATGTGTCGGAAAGTAAAGCTAACGTAGCGCCAGCCTCGCACTTTGTCGCGCTCTCGCACAGCTTCTATGCGCGCGAATATAAATCCCTTCTTTGCTCTCGTTCGTATGTATACATGTGATGTATTTTATACACATGTAGACGTGCTTATATACACGAAATGATATTGCAAATGCACGCGTGACGCGAATACTCAAAAGGCATATGGCAAATTCATACATCCTAATTTGCTCGTAATATAATTACATCGCTGTTGTGCATCGATGATATGGCTATGTGGCAGCGTGCCTCGTTATTCTTGAGCTCATCTTTGAGCGTGTAATTTTGCGGCTTGTTTGCGATATGGCATGAAAAAATTCGTCCGGAACGTGAACGAAAATGAAAATCTCCCGCGCGCATACATGCACACACGCACGCACACACGCTTAACCGTTGGGTAAATAATAATTTGAAAAAGCTCTCTCGAAAGGGAGTGAATGAGCAAGAAATTTTCTCATTAAGAGCCGCGCGCGTTTACAGGGGATCAGCAGAGCCTCGCCTGTTAAATACGTCGAATGCACATAACACATGCTTCTTCCATGCTGACCGTTAATTGATGATGACGAACGAGCCGAGCGCTAGAAACGACGATGACAATTGCGTGACAAATGCATTCTTAATGCGACTATATTATTAATAGCTCGTTAATACACTCGTTTTTTTTTCTAGACCCTTTTTTCTCGCACTCGACGAGTACGCGTAACGATTTCAATTATGACGTTTCCCTGCATATAGCTGCTCCGTTAGACCGATTGAAACTCGACGTACGTAACGAGAAGAAGAAGAAAGAGAAAAAAATGATGCCTCAATAAATGCATTATCAGAGCAATCATCAATCTCTTTATAAAGCAGTGCAGCAACGACACTGACGAGCTTATCATCCAACGTTTCAGAGCGACTAGTGGCGCACGCATCCTTGTGTCGGGCAACCTGTCTCGGAAAAAGACACCTTCGCGCTACAAAACCCTTTTTTCTCCGATGCATCGACGACTATTTTTCTATCTTGCGACGTTCTCTCGAAGGAAAACAAATATGTATACTCTCGTTCTTTTCCCTTTTTCTATGTTCTTTTACGGATGTGCACGATATAACGATGACGACTACTGTACGTACGGCGAAGACGAGCTCCACGAAGACTCGGGTCCTCTTATAGGAAAAAAAAAACACCAAATGGAATAAGGGAAGAAACGAGTCGCGATTGAGGGAAAATTCAATCGTCGCTATATAGGATCCTTTCTATTCTACGTTATGCAATCGCTACTTATCGGCAGTTATTTTTTTTCCTACAAGCTGACTTTTCAATTTTCGGCGGCATACGGCGAGAATGATCGTGAAATTATGCAGTTATCCGCTATCTGCATTTCGTGTGTGAGCGCGGTAAACTTGAAGTCTGAGTGAATGCGTATAAAATCAAAGAAAAAAAGAAATGACTTACTTGACTATTAGCTCACATTGAAATTTTACGATTGACTATGGTTATAAGCTTTTAAATAAATTCAGAACTCTCTACAGAATTGTCATTTAAAATTTAAAACTCTATTACTGTGCATAAAAAGTAAGTTGTAATGGGGCAAAAAATTTTCCGGTTACTCACACTTCGTAACAATAGCTTTTTATTTATTCTTATGTATAATATCTCCCCCCCCCCCCCCCCC